GCCTCGCGGCTTGTAACATCGGCATCAGCCTTGACCCCTCCTGGCCCTCGCTTCATCGCATCAAGGAAGTCCAAGGCGTGAGAACATTCGTCAAAGCCCGGCCAAGTCCACTACCCAAGAATGACCAAGTGCTCCGCCTTACCGTTTTGCAGCCACCAACGTTGGCCAGCTACCAGCTATTATGCGGTGATTACTTACCCTGGCCTATCGCTATATGACGCTATTGGCTGGTGAGATGGTACCGCGTGATCGTGTTTGAGCGTTTTGTTGATGGATGGGAATGGTTGCATGTGTGAGGATCGGTATTGGCATTGCCCCAAGACGGGGAAACTGCAGCATTTAGCAATGAAGCAGTAAGCCTTGATGACACCGACATATAAGCATGCCTGTTCACTTGGTTTCGTCTCCTGAAGCTCCCCTCGGCCTTTTCTTCTGCCTCTCGCCTTTTGCTGGAAGCTTATTTGAAGCTATTTCCACCTGAGCTTGAACGCCAAACGCACGCAAGCCCTAGTTTGCACGTCCGAGTCTAGTCTGGCGATGGCGGAACCTGAAAAGGAAACTAAGATTGAGTAAGCTACTTGTCGCAAGCTGAAAATGGCCATGATGTGAGGCTCAAACTGTACTAACCGTGTGTCTTCCAGTCCAGTGGTGGTGGATGAACACCACGAGCGCAAGGCGTCCATCTTCGACGATGAACAGAAACGCAAAGAGAGCGTCGCTCGCCTAACAGCCAACCTCGAGGGCGAGTAAGTAATCCCCTATTTGATCAAACCCACCAGCCACAGGCATATTCGCTTCCCAGACTTCATTATGGCATGCTTAAGACTCGCTCCTACTAACAAGCCCAGAATCCGCAACCCGCTCGTCGACATCTCACGAGAGCAGCTCCTAGCCAACGTCCACGACTTCGCTACAGAACACCAGCTAACCGACGTCGAGCCTCTCCTCGTCAAAGGCGCCCTCCTCGCACAGTCACCCGCACTCTTCGAAGACCTCGAAGAGCTGGATGAAGATGACCGCACCGCCGTCCGTGAAGAAATCACTCATCGCTTCAAACTACCTCGTACACTCTACTTCACCATCATCCTCAACTCCGTCGCAGCAGCTATCCAGGGCTGGGACCAAACGGGCTCCAACGGCGCTAATCTGACGTTCGGTCAGGCGCTTGGTATTCCGGATTCTGGGCCTGAGTGTGAGGCGGCGGGGACGTGTGAGAAGAATGGGTGGATCATTGGGTTTATCAATGCTTGTCCTTATATTGCTATTGCTGGTGAGTTTGTGGTCAAGGGGCGTCGCGTGAATAGTATGCTAACTTTGTATTCTCTCTTACAGTGTTCTGTGCTTGGATCTCTGGTGAGTAGGCTTTGAAGTTTCTGTCGTCTCATACTGTCCCTTGCTAATGGCTCTAGACCCCGTGAATGAACTCTGCGGTCGTCGTGGTACCATCTTCATCGCTGCCGTCTTCTCACTCTTTGCACCCTTCGGTATGGGTCTGAGCCAGACATGGGGCCAGCTTGCCGTTTGCCGTGTGCTTCTGGGTGTTGGTATGGGTCTCAAGGAAGTTACAGTGCCCGTCTTCTCAGCGGAGAATGTTCCGGCTAGTGTGCGTGGCGGGCTCGTCATGTCCTGGCAAATATGGTGAGTTATTGCTGTACGAGATGTATGCGAGACAGAAACTGACCTGGTAAGGACGGCTTTCGGCATCTTCCTTGGTACTGTCGCTAATCTGGCTGTCATGGTGAGTCCGTGAACATCTTCGTAGTTTGCGACCACTGACAACGGGCAGAACACTGGGTCGATATCCTGGCGTCTACAATTTGGATCCGCATTCATTCCTGCCGTTCCCCTCGTCATTGGCATCTGGTTCGTGCCTGAAAGTCCAAGATGGCTCATGAAGAAGCGAAAGTACGCCAAAGCATACCGGTCCTTTCTTCGCCTACGCAACACTCCTCTTCAAGCTGCGCGCGACCTCTACTACACCCATTGTCTCCTCGAGCAGGAGGAGGTCCTGATTCGCGAAGCTGGAATCAACCCCAAGTCCAACTTTTTCACGCGCTTCATTGAGCTGTTCACGATTCCGCGGGTCCGTCGCGCGACGCAAGCTTCTGGTATCGTGATGATCGGACAGCAGGTAAGATAGCGGGAATTCACTTGGGATAAATGAGGCTGACGAGAATAGATGTGCGGCATCAACATCATCGCATTCTACAGCTCCACAATCTTCGCAGAAGGAGGAGCTACAAACAAGGAAGCCCTCATTGCATCTTTTGGGTTCGGTCTTGTGAACTTCACGTTCGCATGGCCAGCAGTCTGGACAATCGATACGTTCGGTCGCCGCGGTCTGCTTCTTTCCACGTTTCCCAATATGTTCTGGACGCTCCTTGTAGCTGGCATGTGCTACTACATTCCCAAGGATAGCGATGCACATCTAGGCTTGATTGCCTTCTTCGTGTACCTTTTTGGCGCCTTTTATTCTCCTGGAATGGGACCGGTGCCGTTCACGTACTCGGCTGAGGTATTCCCGCTTTCGCACAGAGAAGTGGGTATGTCATGGGCTGTGGCCACGAACAACTTCTGGGCGGTGAGTCAAGTCGAAGCGTCGGATTCTGTAGTGTGACCTGGACTGACTTGCTACGCCAACGATTAGGCAGTGCTGTCGCTCACACTCCCTCGCATGCTCAAGGTCATGAGGCCTCAGGGAGTATTCGGCTTCTACGCTGGTCTCAATGTCGTGGCCCTAGTCATGATGTAAGCCACTCTCGATCCGCTGCAACATTCAGAGAGCTAATATATCTCCAGCTTCCTTTGGCTACCCGAGACCAAACAGCGAACGCTTGAAGAGCTCGACTACATCTTCGGTGTCCCTACACGCACTCACATGAAATATCAAGCTGGCAAGAACCTGCCTTGGTGGTTCAAGACGTACATACTTCGTCGTCAGGGTCTCTCCAAGCCTCAGCTTTACAAGTTTGGCGACCAGCGCCCACCTGTAAGCGTGACGGCGCAGATGAGCTACGCTTGGAACACATACATTCTTCGCAAGAAAGGGTTGGCCAAGCCGGATGCTTATGTTCGAGCTGCGCCTCGAGGCGAGAAGCAGGTCTAGTCAACTTTGGAACAAAGTGTAGCGCGAGGCGAGAAGAGGTGGTGATGCTGGGCACATAAATCGTAGCATGTTTGAGCGAATGGAAAGGACTGATCGGTGACCTGATGGGGCGTGTGGATGGTTGTGGTGGCATGTGGTTTTATCGCTTCTTTGTTGATACCTTCGAAATCGCTCGACTGGGCATTGTAGTCTGTCACTAATTACGATGAATACCGCAGAGTACCTGGGTTATGGGTTTAATAGCACACGTCGCTTGTCCCGCATTGCTCCTTCTCCCCGTCGTTCGATGTTATGAGGTCCGCAGCGGTAGAATAACGAGATGACATCAGACAAGACTTAACAAAGGTAGATGGCGATGTGAAGTGGTTCGTCGTTGAGACGGATCGCCATCAGAATCCCCACTACTCAAGACGACGCCTATCGTCATGCAGCCCCACAAAAACGCGCTTCTCAAGCGCAGCGCGCGTCTGGATGCTAGCGGAAACCACAACCAACCACTTTCACATGCACCAGGAAGCATCGTAACGGCTATTCGGATGCTGCGCCAAACCCCGAAGGGCTCTGACAGGAGGTGCCTCGGCAGTCAGCCTCGGCATGAAGCTAACCACCAGCCAATGCACCCCAGCGCAGCTATCACGGCGGCCGCCCTGAGGGTGGGCTGATCATCAGCAACCCCATAACTCCAGGAACCCGACGATCCCGGGGCATATCCTCTTCCTTTCCTGTCTTCCGACTTAAAGTTGACTTGCCCCCATACGTTGCTCCCCTGACTTGGACGTCGGATCCGCTTCTCGCAGCCATTTCCCCGCATCTTCCGCAGTTCCCGCACGCTCTTATACAACGCCTGCGCTGCCGCCGCCTCGCGGGTACCTCACCAGCCTTGTCGCAAAGCATCACGTCTGCTTGACGAATACCCAAGATGCCAGTCTTTGACCTGAAGAAGAACCTCGTCTTCGTAATGGCGCCCGTACAGCCCCAGAGCGCGCTCGCTGGCTAATGCGAAGAGCAGTATGGCGCATACCACCGCGATCCAACCAATGTCGCCATCCACATAGCATGCGTGCCCGTCCTGCTCGCAACAGGCATTTTGTTTGTGCGTAGCCCAATCTTTCCGTTCCTTCCATCCTCCCAGTATCAATCGCTGACTGACCCGACCATCTAGGGCACCAACACACCCACCCTCCCCATCCGCCAGCACCCGCTGCTTACGCGTCTCAACCTCCCGTTAAATCTAGGCACAATCGCCGCCGCCACCTATTCGACTTTATACCTCATGCTCTCCCCCAACCTCGCCGGCGTCACCGTCACCCCCATAATCCTCGCCTTCGCATCCCTCTCCAACCGCCTGACGCAGCGCTACAACAACACCAAAGTCAACAGCATTGCCGGTGCCATCCATGTCGTGAGCTGGATACTACAATTCGTAGGACACGGAAAATTCGAGGGACGGAAGCCGGCTTTGCTAGACAATCTGGTCCAAGCCCTGTTTCTGGCACCGCTGTTCGTGTGGTATGAGATCTTGTTCAAGATGGGTTTCTACAAGAACCTGAGGAGGGAGGTCGACATGGGTATCGAGATTGAGATTGCCAAATTGAAGGCGAAGAGGGATGGAAAGGGTAAGGGTAAGGAGACTGTCATGGATGATGTGATTGACATCGTGGATAACGAGAAGGAGAGCGGTGATGAGGTTTGAATACCGAGTGAAATTGATTCCTCGGATATCTGAGCAGTAGTATGACAACTTCGAATATGATACGATATGTGTCGATGGTCACCATCGCTACCAGCACCGACCAGTTACAGACACAGTACTGTACAAACATAGGACACAACTTTTTGATCCACACATCCATAGCACTCAACACAATTTAGTACCCCAGACTCCCGATCTGCGTCACTCGAAAGCCTCTTTGAGGATGCTCTCACGCTTCAAGACAGCGATGAGGTCCTGTAGTGAAGATAGTTAGCAAAGGTCCAGAATGACACCAAGAGACACTCACTTTGAACGGATCCTCGTCAATCTCAACCAGAAAGGGCGTAATAGTCTCCTGGGGTGACATGATAGGCTCCTGAATTTCCTCTCCTACAATGCTGATGGACTCAGGAAGCTCCTCTAGTAGCAAGTCTGGCACATCGTCAACAGTAGTATCCGCAATCGCCGTGTTGATGGAGTCGATAGCGTCTCCGAAGGCGGTGGCAGTAGAAAAGACGGGTGTCTCGACAGGCGGGGTCACAGTAGACCCGGTGGAACGGATCCGATACGCCAGTGAAGAAACCTCTCTCTCCGTCTCCTTGACCTCAGTGCTCTCAACGGCAGTCTCATCTGTGTCAACAGAGTCTTCTTCCTCGTACCCTTCCCAGATCTTAAACTTTCCCCGTCGAAACGCCAGCTTTGCCGTGTTGAAGTTGACGATAAGTCGGAAGCGATTTGGTTCGACGTCAGCCCAGTATGTGTATGAGAAATGAATGTAGCGCGAGAAGTCAGCAACGTAGTTCCGAGCCGCGTTGAGGGAAGGGAATGTTGGTAGCCATGTGGGGATGCGGGTGAAAAGCTCTTGAATGTCGCTTTCGATTGCGCCTGTAATTAGTGAGTCAGTCAGTCTAGTACAGGGCGCTGGGAAGGGAGATGACATACCGTTCATCGTAGTCAACTTGCTCCCACGCGCCTTTGGCCCACTGACAGGCTTCTTCTCTTGTTCACGAGATTTGGACTTTCGGCACCGCCAATCCTCTCCGGGAACTTGCATATCAAAGTGACCGTCTTCATAAGCATGCCTCACAGTGTTGAACTTGACGTAACGCCGAAACCTCTCCTGCTCAACCCCTTCAAATCTTGTGTAGGTGAAGTCCTTCCAACGTGCAACGCCGTCAACATGTACAAGAGCATCCTCAACACCAGGGAAGTAGGACGGCCAGTAAGGTACAAGGGGAAGGAGGCGTCGAATGTCTGCTTCGACGGCCGCTAAAGCACGTTACATGTGAGCTTGGGAAGACCAAATAATGGAAACTGAACAAACATACCTCTCAGAGCCGGCCGGTCTACCAATCCGACCTCCAGATAGAACTCTCCCTGCTTGAAAGCCTTGCAAGCTACTACGAAGCATACCTTGTCCTTGATATATGCCAGCTCCTGCTTCGTCAAGAACTGCTTGGTGGTGATGTACTGGTTCCCAGACTGCTTGCAGGTAGTGTTGATGTACTCTTTGACTTCTTCGACGTCGTGGAAGTGTGTGGGGTAGGTGTTCATGTCTGTTTCCACTTTCGCCGCGGCGCAGAAAACAATGCCTGCAGATGTCAGTGGAGAACTCTGTTGTAAATGGGGAAAAAACTCAACGAACTTTTCAAGTGCTTGTTAGTGGGCATGATGGTTGTGTTCGCCAGTTTTGGTGGGTGCCTGTCACGCCGTGGATAGAGAGAAAGATAATGTTGTGTCGAGATACTGATGCAGAGGAGTGGAAGATGATGATATGCTCAAACTGTATTGCATTCTGATTTGAAATGACACCGGCGTTCTAACAAACGCACGTATTCCAGCCCAAGGCGTCGAATTCGCGTGGCACGTATCCAGTCGCCTGCAAACGAAGGCGGGCGAATCCCGCCTCTTGATGTCGGAAGTCGAGACCACTAAGCATTCGGCAACTCCAGGCACCGATTAGACTCCTAAGAAAGGAATCAGCTGTCCCAACAGACGCCACGATGTATAATATACAATCTCGTGGCTGTGCACGTACTACCCGCATGATCAATCGTCATGTCTGTACCAACACGCTCATTTTAATACACTTTTGACACCTGACATGCAACCTGTCTACTCTTCCTCGTCACTCTCATCATCGTCCACCCTATACAAAAAGTACTGCACAAACACGCCGGCATCCAACAACAATGTGCCAAAGCTGCCCAACAGCCAGCTCATATTGACCGCAATGTATTTGCCATACTCGGCACGTCCCTCACCGTCTTGGCAAACGTGGCCCCCACACTTGGGCTTGTATACTAGGATACTCAGAACATACGTCAGGTTGCCCAGGCAAGCAAACAGAAAGAATAACATGCTGATGCCTTCGGTCGACTTGCGGCGGTAGTTGAGCAGAAGCTGTGGGACGCGGGAACCGAGGTAAAGCGCGGCACAAACGTAACCGGAGACCTGGCCCCAGAGATTGAAGTGCAGGGTCGATTCGGGGGATGAGTCCTGGTCATCGGGCTGGCCGGGAGCGGTGGAGTTTCGTGCGCTAAGGTACCAGCCGAAAACACCGGCCGCGCATACAAGGACTATGGTTCCAAGATTGAAGAGGATCGTTTGCAGACTGGACTGGGCCGGATGGGGTCTGGCTGCAACCGCGCCATTTTGATGTGCAGCAGTTGAGTCATCGTGGAGCGGTGTGACAGGCGAGAGATGCGTGCCGTCAATGGAGAGATAGCGCTCACGGAATGACCCTTGGGAATGGCCGGAGCCACGGCGATCGATATCCGAAATGCGCGGTCTCTGGACTTCGATTCCATGGCCGTTGCCGTTTGTATAGGGTGAGCCGCTCGACTGGGGTCTGCGATGAGGCAGAAGTGGTGACTGCTCACTAACTTCGCTATCCGTGTCGGACTCATCGGCGGGCTTCTTATATTCATCGCGCAATGTAAAGCCCTTGTAGTAGAAGCACTGTAGCAGCAGCACGATGTCGGCTAAAGTATAATACACCGCCAAGATGGTCATCGTTGGCAGGACACCTTGCAGCACCGCGCCTATGATATTGAAGAAGTCACCGAGTAGCCATACTACGATGAAGACGACCGAAAGGCCCTCTGCTGAGCCTCTCTTCCAATTTTCGATGATCTGAGGTGAGAAAACAACTGTCGCACAGGTTAGCTCCGGCCGAGGTAACAGCCATGCAAAAGCAACACGGGGCAAGCGCGTTGCACAGCACGTAGTAGTACGAGAAGCTGTATCTCACGTACCTATCCAGCATGCAATGCTTATTGAACCAAATATCTGGCTGATGGCATCAATGTCCAATCGCAAGCCTTGCGATGGAGGAAACATCTTCGCTATGACGTAACCACCGAATTCCTAGCTCTTTCTCAGTCGCACAATCTTGGAGCAGCTCTCAAAAGTCGGAGGAGCTGGCCCAAAGTCCTTGCGACTTTACTATTGATGACAGATGCTCGCAAGCTTGCAGGTCCCTTCCCTGGCGATGAAACGCGACGTGAACGTTTCTCTTAACAAAGAGCGGCCGGCTATAGCTATGCAAGCGAGTCCCGGCACAGCCGCGTACGTAGGTGACGGATATATGTGGAAAGACGGTGGTGAGGATGTCTGCCGGGTAGTCTCTGATGAGGGCAAAGAATATGAGATGGAATCTAGAACGCAATTGCTGCGATGACTGACATGTGGAAAAATCTCGGGCGAGTACGTAATCCGGGGTTGCAGGGATGAGCTTCTGCAGGAACCAGAAAGAGCCGCACTAAGCGAGCTGCGAACATGTGCCTCACGCGACGAACTATTTCGAGCAATGGCTTATTTTCAGGAACTCGTCATTGGTTGATCATTATATATATACCTATGTACTTTGATGTGCAGATAGCTCTGTGTAGCCCACATACATCTCGTTCATTAACCAGTGCCCTCCCAGAAGGCAGCCGCCGCCGCAAGATCATCGACGTTGAGCAGATCGACGCCCTCGTCCCAGAGAATACGCCAAACCGCGTTCCTCGTACCAATCGGGTACGCCGGCTGGTTCCAATATCTGGCCATGATGCCCTTCTCATGTGCCATGTCAAGCTGGCTCCTTAGCGTCTCCAGCTGCGTGTCGTTGAACTCCCGCTTGCGCACTTCGCCAAAGGACGACGCAAAGTTTGTGGACGCAATTGGTGACTCATCTGCTGTGAGGTCCGCATATTTGGAGTCATTGAGATCAGCAAGTGGCGCGTCAAAGAACACGTCACGTGGAGACGACGCAAGAACGTCTGAAAGCTGGGTGTTTCCAGTTCCAATGACGGTAACGGGATTCTTGCGCAGGTTGGTTCCGTCGTAAGTTGTTAGCCAGTCGCCGCTTCGCAGAGGCTCCAGGGCTTCGAGAACAGCGGGCCAGGTCTCGTCGGCGGCAGTCTTCAAGTCGATGAAGAAGTAAAGAGTCTGTCCGCTGGAGGTGTCGAACACACCGTTCTGCTCGCCCGGCTGCACGAATCGAGTTTTCGGGTTCAGGCGATGCAGAGTGTCGAGGATTGGCTCCAGATAGAGAGACTGGAGAGTGCGCTTGTCGGTAAGGGCAGCAGGCTCATGGCCGACCTATCGTCGATTAGCGGTATTAGATGAAATTGCGACGCGTAATTTACGTAGAGAGTGCCATTCAGAAGCCACACATCAGCTTCCGTCGATATAGCACCCTGGCTCAGACCCGAATAGAACGGCACATCGCGCCAGTAATCATTATGGCTGTGGAACGGCTTTGGGATAATCTCCCTCGTGAAGTCCGTTGGGTACGTGTATTTATCGCTCTTGTCTGTGTTCTCGAGTATGTTCTTGAGTGGCGTCTGCTGCCCATATGGTGCTGCGCTGCAGAGCGCGGCCAGACTGGCGGTAAGAGCGAGCGAGCGCATGACGAAGGCGACGCGACACGGAAGATGCAGAGCGAACAGGAAGTTCAAACAAGCAATGCGGGAGCTTTATGAACGAAGCGCAACTTCAACAAAGCGATTGAAGGGTGACAATTGACGGTTGATGAGAGTTCGCATTGAAGCTTGTCAACGATGTCACTGGTGGGGACAGCCGTGGACATCCGGCCAATCCGGGCAAGCTGCTCGGCCCGTGGCAGTATGGCTTGCTTCTGGAGGCCTCGTTGCATGGCGACACGTGCTGGAAGAACAACAATTACTCGCCATTCTTCTTCTCACGAGCCTTCGTCGGCAGAAGAATATCGGAGTGTTTGCGATATCGGCTCGGTGGCTGTATGACCGAAGCTCTTATTGCGCTATGCCCAGGTGGCGTTGGCCCGTTGGTCGCTGCGTGGAATACTAGGTACCGCAGTATTTTCTGCTGATATTTCGCAAATGAGCATTGTAATTGTTGTTCTTCTGTCTGCAGATAATTTGGTAGTCCGAGACACGTCAGCATCAAAGCAGCGTGGTGTTCCAGGGTGCAGAGCTCAACCTGGGAAGGGTCACGCTGGAAGCACAAACACGTGTGCATACCATTGCAGGGAACAAACTTGAAAACGGCTTGCAATTGCCTTCTCTTGCAACTTTGTCTAGAGCTTGAACATGCTGTGAAACCTGGTCAACGGCGTCTCTAGTGGTGTCCCCGAAATTGATCGCAAGGTAGCTGGACGTGGAATTCCTGGTTGCACAACGAGTAGTAGATCGAAAGGCCTTGTCATTACTCTACTCACACTGCGCCTCTGTAAACAAGACATGTAGTACGGTGATGCTTACATCAGATGGCTGTGATGTAAATCCTGCTCGCGTTCCCCTGAAACCACACCCCATTACCGCAGTCTTGGTGTCTTTTCGGTCCTTCAGCCCCACCTGCATCTTCCTTCCAAGATTCAAGCTTCGCACCATGCATTTCCCTGGCCCTCAACGGGACTACATCGGCTTTTCTTTCCGCATCACGGGATTCTGGACGAGATCCTGCAAGATACTAGTGCATTTTGTAAAATCAGGGTCTTGGGCGGGGCTAGTGAAAATAATTGGTGGTCGCACGAGCCGTTTCGACATGCAGTAGCCGCTGCAACCACGGTGAACTGTGACCAAGCGAGACGACAAGACCCTGTAGTCGTCTGCATGTACGAAGGTGCATGCTGCAGAAGTAGGGAGTACCGTGGCTTAATGGCTAGCACAAGAAAGTTGGTGGCCGGTGGAATTGCGTGATGAGGGGGGTTGAGGTCAATGCGTCACACCGAGGACGTTCAGGGCCAAAGTCCACGCGTCAACGTTGCCACGGGTACAGCATGAAAGCAGGTTGAATAACCTCCAGTGGTAATGGGAGGCATGAATATTGCGAAGGTAGCTCATGTCACACAAATGGGTAGTTGAACACAATGATTTAAATCTCCTGATGGAGACATTGAATTGATAGATAAATAGGATATCGTTGAATCGATCCAACACCGTGCCGTGCATGCCATTGGCGAAAGCCATATGTAGACTCCCAAACGCCAGGCTCTCTCGTAAATAAAGTCAGATCAAAGCGTGATCTTTAACCATGCATCGCTAATACAAATAGCGTCTCAGACGCTTGAAATGAAGATGGTTGTG